TCGGCTTTATTTTATTGACTGGCTAGGGGTCCTCGGATGTGGGCTGAGCTTTGAGATGGATGTTCTATAGAAGGGCCTGGGATGTCGTCCTCATCCAAGGGAACATCTTCTACTTCATCACCTACGATGGTTGGTTCGGAGTTGGAGGAGTTCCCCTCACATTTCCCACATATTTTTGAGCAAAAAAGCCCTACTCGTCAGCAGCCGCAGTGACCTTCTTGCATGAGCATGCTACCAATTTCAAGAGAGCATATGGGGCTGGGCTCCGTAAGGTAGTAATAGGAACACATGAGTTTGCAGTCTTTCTCCAACCCCAATCCTCGGGTGACAACTTCTTTCTTGAACATGGGAAAATACCCTCTGGGAGTGTTGTTCAGCTGCAGCTTCAGTTAATAGAAGAGATAATATATTACCATTCATCTTATAAGCTGATGTAATACAACTCTTGAATCGCAGCTTATTCAGCTTGTTAGTGATATGGTTACCACCATACAAGGCCACTAAGAGTCTCTCCCCTGCCTCGGTAATTTCGTTAATGTTGAATTGGGATTAGAAAACCGGCAAAGATAGGTATAGAAGTCGTTATATCTTATAACTGTCTTATGACTCGGCGTCCGCTCTATTCCAACAAGGTAAAGGCACTAAAGACATTCAAGAAAATAAAGATGGCAAGTGAGGTGAAAATAGGAAAATAAAAGCTATAGTTGTACATGTTAATTTAAAAAATAGAATCTCGTCTACAGCATTTCAGTCAACATCCCAGTCTATTTTCTGTATATGTATATTATGTCCATTTATAATGATACTATCTATATAATGTATAATATATATGGGGAAAATGGTATCTATTCTGCAGCCCCAGCATATTAAACTATATTTTTAATCGACCCTATGATTTATAATAATAATTTTCAAATGTATTTAAATTGAAAATTGTTAAGTTTTTTTTTAAACTATGGTTACCGTCTATAAACTTCACTTACATTTTTTTTACCACTAAATGTGACCTAATTATACCATATAATTATAAAATAATTAATATTCATGAAATAGAGTTTGTTGGGTGTCTAATCCAAGGATTTATAATGGTGTTTCCTATGTTTTTCAATAGGTAAAAGAAAATGATTAATTTTGAGCGTGCTCTAGCGTCAGTTTGGAACATCGTAGAAATAAAGTTATTATATGTATATTGTAGGGAATTTAGTGCACTTTAATTTAGTAAATTACAGTTATTGCAAAAAAATACTCCGTTTGTGAGTTATACGCAAAAAAGTAAAACAAGTACAGTATTTTATTAGTTTTTTGCGATTTCTGAAGTTAGCTCACCTCTGGCGAGGTGGCAAAGTTTAAAATCGGATTCAGCGCCAAAAAATACATAAGAAACCACTGAGAAAAAAACTTCGGGAATTTTTTCCTGAAAACACAATCTTTTTTCCTCATATGCTTGGACTATTAATATTAAATAAGTCAGTAAACTCCAATTCCGAGGAATTCCTCCAAAGTTGGCAACACTACTCCCAACTACCAAGTTGTTATGGAAACGGTCGCTAGCGCTTGATGCTGCAGCGGTGTGCGCCGTAACTACGCATTACCCCTAGCGGTTGGCGCCGGAATATACGCTAACCGCAGCACAGCTGACAGTCTATATTTATTTCTTTTTGTCTATGGTTTTACTCATAACAACACGGGTAACGGACCAATGAGGTTCAAGGATTAAGAGAGGAGAAGCAAAATTGTAATGATTCAAAATTCAACTAATCAGCTGTTCAGGCCAATTTAATTGTTAATTGGTGCAATTAGTATTTGATACAATGTTTCGTTGCATCACTGACAGTGGCAATTAGAGGTTATAAACAAAAACATAACCTCTCTTATAAGTTATGAGTAGTGATTTTAGTAATTAAAACACCGTCGGAGGTAAAGTAGTGTACGCAACTCGCGTAAATAGTGTTAACGACACTCGTAGAAGTTTTGAAGGCACTCGCCAAGGCTCGCACCTTAAATTTTCTACTCACGTCGTTAACACTATCTTTACGCAATTGTTGTGTAAACTACTATAACTTTGTGAGAATCATTGAATTTAACGGTACTCGACCTGACAGCCTATAAATCTGAATTATTTTGAATTTACTCCTGCTTTGCCTTCCTCCAAAATTTTATTAGCCTTAATAATTATATTTAGGCCCCATAATATATTAATAAACCCCAAATTGTTCAGACACTGAATTTGATTTGGAATGATAAACTTTGTTGGCAAATGTTATAATACAATGCAATGATCAGAAATTAAATTTAAAACTCTAGTTACTTAATCTTGAGATTAACAGAATACGACAGATAATTTATTTGCTGATAAATGTCTAATATATTTACACAGAGTGGCTAATACAAAGCCAGCCTTTTGCAACACATTTTACATCAATGCAACATATATTAAATATTAATTAAACTCAGCAAAATGTCTCAACAATAGTGCATAACTATTGAACTAATAACTAATATAAATTAATGAAATTACTTACATTTTGGGTTGACCCCAATAAACTTATTTTTAATAATAATGTAGTCGGTGGCAAGTTTACACGTCCGTACTAAGTTTTGCCGACAAATTTTTTTTTTCGTCCGGATCAAGCAATTGTCACGTTCCCTTGGTCGGGTTCTGCGGTTTTAAAATTAGACAAAATTGAATTTCAAATAATACAATCAATTATTTAGAACTTGTTTTGCGAGAATTGTACTTTCTAAAAGATACAGGCCTGCAAAGTTAAGGCTAGGATTATACTAGAACGCTGGCGTCCGAGAGGCCAGCGTCCGGGACCCTAGCGGGGCATTAAATCAAATATGGGCGATTATACTATGGATGCTAGCGTCGGATGCTAAAAAAAGCCACCGAAAGCTCGAAGTTATTACCGTAGGTGGCATGGTAAGACCTAGGCCCGGGACCGATTTACTTTTTCATTTTGATGTCCCCAGAGGCCAAAAACACCATCCGTTCGTATAGATTTAAATATTAAATATATATATGTCTGTAAACGCGATAACTGGAGTAACTTTTGTTCTATTTTGAAGAAATTTGGTTTTAAGGTGAAGGGTGGGATAAATTTGAATGAGTTCGCGAACCAGCATGAACATACCTTGGGAACGGGGTTTTATGTGCTAAAAAAAGGGGGTTTGTAATTTTTGAACCATAAAACTAAAAAAATCATAATTTCTCTCTAGACAATTTTAATGAGCTTAAAAACAAATAACTTAGTATATTTGAGTGTTTTTGTACTGTTATTAGTTATGGAGAAAATTAAAAAAAGAGTATATATTAAAAATTGCCATGTTATTCTTATAGAAAACTAGCTACCCGGCGAACTTCGTATCGCCTAAGTTATAGGTTTCCCCTAAGACAGACCGATGGAAAGAAAGTACCGTTACGTTTAATTTTCAAGATGATCTCGTTCGCATCGCTCAATCACGTCCTGGTTGAAGTTCGTTCGCTACGCTCACTCACCTTTGGGTTGGAGCTCGTTCCCTACGCTCACTCACCTTTAGGTTGGAGCTCGTTCGCTGCGCTCACTTGCCTTCAGGTTAGCTCGTTCGCTACGCTAACTCGCCTCCAGGTTGAAGTTCGTTCGCTACGCTCACTCACCTTTGGGTTGGAGCTCGTTCGCTACGCTCACTCACCTTTAGGTTGGAGCTCGTTTGCTGCGCTCACTTGCCTTCAGGTTAGCTCGTTCGCTACGCTAACTCGCCTCCAGGTTGAAGTTCGTTCGCTACGCTCACTCACCTTTTGGTTGCAAATTAGCTGTTGTCATAAATGTAAAAGAAATAATAGTGCTGCACCCTGTTGGTAATTCTTGTAACTTTAATGCTATTGAACATCATAGAACAGAACCAACTTGTTTAATTGAAACAGCTGTTAAGATTCATTAATTCCATTTCTCATAAGGTTAACATGGGAAACTCCAGAGCCACTGGGGCGGAGCCCTTTTAAGAATTTCGAAACGGGAAATAGTTTACGTCCGATTCGCATACCTACAGAATTTACACACCAAATTTCATAACGATCGGTGAAGTCGTTCCGGAGGAGTTTGCAGACAAACACTGTGACACAAGAATTTTATATATTAGATTTTGTTAAGTGTTGGAATTTGCTTGTGTATGGATAGATTTTTATTAAACTTAACCAATTTGTTCTACACTAACCTAATGATACAGTATTTTACTAAAAAAAACACACTTTATTAGCCCCCTTAAAGCATCAAACCTTGGTACTCGTTAAACCTAATGTTATTTAAATAGATATAAACAAAAAGTGACTAAACATTGAAATAAAATGGCATTCCGAGAGGCTAGCATCCCAACACAAATCACGTCTTTTTTCGGCTCGAGGTGGGACGCTAGCCTCTTGGATGCCAGCATCCCGGACGCCAGCGTCCTAGTATAATCCTAGCCTAAGATTCTAATTTTGATAAGCGATCAAAACGCAACAAACTTTTAATAATTTGCTGATCCAACTGGTATGTGTTTATTTAACCAATCTCGACCACCAACTAGCTGACTTTATCCTGACCATCTTGTTGCCCCTTCCACTCAGATTTTTAACGGTCAAGGCTGTGATTGGCTGGTTTGAATTTGCTCATTGTTTGCAGGAAACTGGAGGTTTTTATTTGAATTTTAAATCGGTACACTTCATTTAATCAATGCCCTACAGTAATAGAAGTACAAAGACATATTAGTAGGGTTGATAAGTATACACGCTCCGATAACGACACATGTAGTTATGATTCACTATCTGCCAGTAACACCACCCATCCACAATAATTTTTTTAATTGGCCAAATTTGTGTGTAATGTTTGTGTGTCATTGTTTTTGGGTTTGTACTTACGTTTTTGACAACTTCACAACACCAACCTGGTGTTGCCTGATGAAAAACAAGATCACCTGACAGTACAACATGTATTTGAAATATTTTATTTGAAGTGATATCAACAAGTTTTGGGATGTTTCAGCATTTTGGCCAGAGTTGTCATGGTGACTGATGAAGTGATCAACTACAGAAGGTGGATCAAAGAGAAATACCCAGTGATCAAATCCAACAACCGTATAACTATGAGCATATCCAGTGGTAGCAGTGAGGGATCTGTTTCTTCTTTTGCTTCTAGTGACTCAGTGAGTGATTTCTAATCTCGAAACCCAAACTAGAACTTGAGTAATAAAACTTTGAAACTTATATGGGTCACACAACCTGGGTTTGTTCTTGGGGTTAAAAATCAAACATCAAAAGTGGGGATGGGCCGATTGAAGAATCACTGATACTCGATACCGATTCTGAAAAGTGAGATTAATTTAGATGCTAAACTCAACTGACATTGAAGGTTGTAGAGTGGCACATCATAGTTTATTTGGAATACTCTGAAGTCAGCTAATATAAATAATTCCAAGTTCATTATCTCACATTCGTAATAGTTTTATAATCCAAAATAGCTTGCCTTTGCATTTCATGAGTGCCATTGCATTTCACAATGAATGACGTGTTGTGTTCAATTGACTGAGACTGACAACAGTGACAACTAGTATAACAGAACAACAGAACTCTAGTTGCCACCATGTTGTCAGATCGAGGGCAATGTTGCCAGATGGTACAAGCATTGAATATAAATATAATACACATAAAGTGTGTATAGTCATTGGTACCAGTATAACTCGCGTTTTCTAACTCGTGATGGGTTTATGTACATTTCATTAAGAGCTTAAGAGCTTGATAAGTATCGCCCACCCCATATTGGGCAGGTTCTAATTCAGGGCTTTATGGTGACTATTGGAGATGCCGTTTAGCGATGTATTTTATCGTTATATGTTGTTTCTCTCTGACTGAACTGAAACAGCTGTCGTGAGTTTGCAAAAGGGAAATTTATGGTTTAACCTATGTTTATGTTTTGGTTTGTTCTTTTGTTGTTTGTTTGCTGTGCGTGCGTCATGAGTTGTTCAAAATAGATTATGATCCCCATGAACTACATGACTTTAATGTGACTTAAATTACTTTTTTCTTTAAGTAATTTAAGTGATATTGATGATGACAATATTGAAGATGACTTTGAGAGTTTATAACTCAAGCAATATGGAACAGTCATCGTAGGCCTAGATGTACAAATTCGTATACAAACAAAAACAGTTAACATTTTAGGCCTACCTAAACCGGTGATTGTTGTCTCAATTTAATTTAATAAAATATGCTAAAATGCATGTCTTCTTGAAGCCTATCTTATTTTCCTCATAGGCTAACCTAATCTATGTAACCTTAATCAATAGCAATGTAAGTTGTATTATTGTGTAAAGGTTAAATAAAAAAAATAACATGCTCCTTTATTTATAGAGATAGCGAGAAGCACACATAAGTTGTATGTGTTATTAAATTAATTTTTATCATATATCGGTATCGAGTGCGGAATTGAGAATCAAAACTTAAAATTTTAGAATCGGAATTGGTATTGGAATCGACCAATTCAGGAATCGGCCCATCATTAATCAAAATTTTAATTATAATATGATTTCTATGTTTTTTATCCTTACAGAAATTTAGCATGTTTTAAATTACTCTCAGGATTATCAAATTATTATAAATATAATTTATAAATAATATATATTAATAATATTATATTTATAAATATAATATAAATTATTCAGATCTATCTCAGGTTCAAATATAGAAAAGTTAGTTTATCTATATAGTTTGAGAGATATAAAATATTAAGCAAAATTAACTAGTTGGGTCTTGATTAATGAATAATACCCAATTATTTGGAGGAGGGAAAGGAAAAGGAGATGAATGAAGTGTATGTAAAAGATGTCACTAGTATATAGAAGACCGATGATAGAAGAGTTGCGGCCTTTGCATTTTGAAAAGATACACAGGTGTTTATATTTAAAAAAATGGTAGTGAAAGAAACAATGTTGGCATTTTAGTGTTCAAACTTGCCAATCAAATCTTGAAGCAAAATTGTCAAAATTTTCAGTGGTGTTGACTCATTTGTAGTATACATCATGAAGTATTATTGATTTCGGCTGTTGAAATGGAAATTAAAGTTTAAACGTTTCTTGTGGTATTTCTTGTCTCCATTATTGATACTGTACTTGCATATCTCATATTCAAATCCAGTCTGCTACTTTTGCACACTATGTGGAATATTTCTTACTGGTCATCACCATTAATCAGGTTTCATATTGAATTCCCAAAGAGTCTACCTACCATTGTAGTTGTAAATTTTCTCGGAATGTAAACATTTCTAATACAATTTATACGCAAGTAACTTATTATCTCTTTTGCTAGAAGTTTAGTTGGAGCAACATTTTGAGTTGTATGCTTATTTTACAGGACTCAGAATGTGGTGATGCAAAACAGAAAATGGTCAACTACCAGGTGACCAACTCATGGAGACAACAACCTCGAAACACGTCTCCTCAATTGGGTAAGTAGGCCAAGCTTGCTAATCTCTTTCATATAATTGCAAATATCAAGTTGGTTCAACTAACATGGAATGTGCTAGCTGTCTCTGTTTTTTCTAATGTTAAGTAAACAAAATTCAACTTACTTTGACAGACACAAAACTCATAACAACAATCACAACTGATTTTGTTTTGCCCCTTTTAAAACAAACCATATTTTGGTATAGATAAGGAAATCGTAAATAGAAATGTGGCACTGTTAAATTATCTTGACTGAAAATTTTCCCTAACTGGGGCCGTTTCCAACAATTGGATTCAATTGTTTTTATACTCGTTTACTCCTCTTTCAACTTTTGTAAAATACGTCACTTAAAGGGGAAATTAGGAACCCTGCTAAAACCATCGACATAACATTGGTCAAAAGTTGTAAGTTTGAATGAAGGAAATTACAATAATGGTACTGTGATATCATTGTTGTCACTAAATGCTCTACGTCACCCTGACATCTTACACTATATGGGAATCAGGAAGTTAATAAGAACTACGATTGACTGTAAAATTGCTAACGACCAAATGGACAGAGTTACTCAAGTTGGGAGCTGGCTATAACTGAGGTCTCAAGGTGACGGTTAGCATGGACTCATGGGTTGGGGGTATGGCTTGACCCGATCGACCAATAGCATTCATTCATTTATTCAAATATTCAACTGGTAGTGGAAATACAAACGGTTACAGTTCAACGTCTTGTGTTTGTTAATAATTTGTTGTCGTTGTTCTCAGAGTTTGTTAATAATTTATGTATTTAGCAATTTAGTTATCGGTCTATATTTTTAGAATTTGTCTTTCATTGATAAAAAGTAAAAATTTGTTTAGGTCACAACCGGAATCAACATCATCAACACCACCATCACCACAACCACCACCACCACAACTTCCCTCCGCAGCGGCGCAACCAAGTGCCACCGCCACCACAGCCACCCACCACCCCGACCACTCCAGCCCATCAACCTTTGCCTCAGTCAAAGACCAACAATAACAGTAAACATTTTACGAATCAAAATGGGTTCCATCGGACATTTAGTAACAACCGTAAACGGACCCTTAGCAAACAGAGGCTCAAAAACGAAATCATCAGCCAACAACGGTAATCTTAGATTTTGTAGTGGTTTAGACGTTTTTATTTAAATCCACAAGTTTTACAGACTTCCCTGCGTTTAGAAGATGCCAATGAATATATTTTTGGTGCCATAACGTATTTAGTTACTTTACTTAATATAGGTAGTTTGTAGATCTGGTCACTCCTGATTTCTTACAGCATTTAACTGACCGTGTTCTTTTGATAATGGTGAATTTATTGTAGGTGGGAAACTAAAAACTTTGCAGCTATTGGTTATGCATTCCGTCTCTGAATCCCCGGGTAGTGAACATATCAGTCATAATATCTGGTTATACTTGTGTAAATGGTTTTATTCATCTGTTCCCAGTTGTTTGTATATTGATGTTATTATTTTTGGAAAATCTCACAAATATGAAACCATATTAGCGCCTTGCAGAAGTCAGTGCCTTTCGATTTGGTTGTCATACCACTATTATTGTGAAAGTGTGCTAATCTAAATAAGTTTGAAATCAGAAAGAAGTGTGTATTCCCCATACATTTTTATCCTTGTTAATTGAGAACAAAACTTTACTGTCTTTCAATTCTTGTTTTAAATTTGATTGCAATTTTAATGTGTCTGTTCTTTTCCCTTTTCCATCTGATATTTGAACCTGAATAACACGTTTGTCTGCATTGTTTAGGTATAGTTAAACCTTTTTATTGCAGGTAAAACTACTTATGTACAATAAATAGCAATATGGCGATATATGGATAGTTATATTGTTGAAACAATAATCTATTTTAAACACTATATTTTTGCAAAGTAATTATTAAAATAACCATGTTGCTGTTATAATTTTTGACCCAAAAACTAATAGTTTTTTTTTAAGTTTTGAAACTTGACACCGTAGGGTACTTAAACTTGCAGTAGTTCTAAGCAAAAAAGTAGGGTAGACCTACATGAGATTTAATCTAGAAACAACGCCTCTTTTCTATGTGCACTTAAGTTTTGTTGATTCCAAGAGTAAAATATATTTTTTTTTATACAAAAACATGTTATGCTTTGTATTAATTCAAATTTATTTCAAGCTTAGGCCTATAACTTGACATATAGCCTAGTCAATAAAACCAACTTTTTAGAATCATGGAGGACACAAACCATTCTTTTCCGATAAAACCTTTGTGTATCAAAGAAAAGTTCTTTCCCACAGTACTATTTTATATATTTGATATTGCATCTTTTGAGTAATATGATAGGTTACCTTAAATTTTCAAATTTAAATATCTTGTTACATTTTCAAAAAGTATAATTTTATTAATAGGCCTACAAAAAAAGTTATGTGTTAAGTTAAAAATTAGAATCTTTGCATTGATATACTTTACTTTTACTAACACGTGATATGAACTGTGTCTGAAACATAAATTTTTCATCATGCCAAATTCACCATACACAAAAGTGGAGACAGACAAAAAAAAGCAAAAAATAAGTTTTAAAGATGTGTTGATTAAACTTGGAATCTTTGTTAGCAAAGTTTTTTTTATAATGATAATGACTTGTACATATAGCTTAACTAACTACTTATAGTGTGCGAGATAAATAGTTTTATAATGAGAAGTTTATCATGATACTCTTTAAGAGCATACTTCTAGTTACAAACTACTGGAATTTAATTTTTAATACATTTCTTTGGGTAATAATGAACGGTATGTTTAAAGAAATTCTAAATATATAATTTGTTAAACATTTTACTAATTAATTTATGTGTGAATTATTTTGTACAATTTTGAAAGTGGTAAAACAATAACAGGTAGTGAAAATGTTATGTAAGCAAAGTAACTTCAGTTAAGCTCCCCACCAGAAATTTTATCAATATAGTTTTAAGGAATTTTTTTTTTTTCAAAATACAAAAAATGAAGACTTCTCTTCCATTCCAAAATATAAATTAATTATTGTATTGTTCTTAAATGATTTACTTATACTTTTGAGGCTTATCAATGTTTGTAATGTATTTTATGTCTACTAAATATCCAGTAAAATAATAGTTTTCTTGTTTATAAGCTTTTAGTTAATTTAAAATAAAAGCAAAACAATCTGTATTGAGAAAAAACAATACCAATGTCTGTTTGAATTTATTCTATCTGAATCTAACCAGGTTGTTTTTATTACTAACCTATGTCTATATCATTCTTGTTGAAGACAACCCATTACTAAGATAGTCAATGATGTAGTTAACGTTAGTATGTTTGCTATTAGTTATATTTTAAGTACCAATAACTTTGTTAATGTTAAAGTAAGATATGTAATTAAGTCATAAGTGTACATTATTCTGCTTTAAATAATCCTCAGTATCTTAAAAGGAAAAAAAAAAACGTTAAAATAAACCTTCAAACTATTTTCAGTATCCACACTCTTTAAATAGTGATGGGAATCAGTAGGATTTTATTTGAAATTTTATACAACAATTGCGTTTTAAATCCAGCTAGTCAAGATTAAACGGTATGCTATTTATAAATAATTAGTCTAGATTCAGGAATATTTTTGTTTGACTTAATTATCCTCTGATTAACTTTTAGAAAGATTATAGATTTAACTAATTTCAATATTGACAAATAGAAATTTCATGTTGAAAATACTCGCTGTAATGCTGAGTCGAATTAAATAAATCAACCAAAATTCCTAACCTTGTTTTATCGTAGAGTTTTGTGTAATACGTTTACTCCTTGCTTAGGGGAATCAATTTTTAGTGTAAAATTTCTATTGGTGGGACTTAAAAACAAAAATCACATTGTGTGAAGAGATACTTTACTGGTGTATGGGATTTATAAACTAACTGCTAAGCTTAGTTCCTGGTTCATATGTTACCCCAGGCCGTACAGATTGTGATATACCCATACCATACCAAAGTTATTTAATTTTATAGTTAAGTAAGTGTTATGTGGTAAGAGAAAACATTAAATCCCTCGGCAGCAACTGATGAAATCATCAACAGTTACAGAAAATTTTCTTGCCTTTGACAAAAAATAAATAAATAAAAATACAATTTTTGATAGTGCCATTTTCTATGGACTAATGAACACATCTAAATAGAAACCAATTGAAAAATGATGTGCAAAAAATATATCTGGAATGGCAGCCTAAGATGGAAATGTTAACAGTTCTTAAATTTTTCACACAAGTCACAATTATAACAACCCAAATGTTGTACTGTATCTCGGGAAGAGTAGCCTATACATTAGTTGCAGCTTGCTTATGGATGCAATCTCTGTTAGTTATTTATGTCGGATGTTTGTAATATGTTTGGTTTAATAGTTAAGTTATTCTGATTTCAGATATTTTCCACACTTACCCTATCCAAGAGTTCCTCCGTTTATTTTGGCAGGACCTGTTACATTCAAGCCGATTCCTTCCAATAACCATTTTTTTAACGACTTCTTGGTCACTGCTTGGTGACTAACATAAATTTATTTGTTTCTTTTTATTCTACACTATCTCTTACACAATATTTTTATTCTTCACAATATTCACAAACATTAAATTGTGATATGAACTCATAGACTTTGGCAATAAACTTGCAATTTTCAACGCCAAGTGAAAATGTTCCAAAATAGATGTTAAAAATGTAACTAGTCATATTTTGAGAATTTATGTACAAATTATTGTATTGTAATTAGAATTTCTTGTGTACAAATTATTTTGTTATTTTCTTTGTTCCGGAGTAGGGAATAGTTTCATTTTTATACCTACATTTTTGTTTTTTAAACTGGTTAAGTCAAAATTTTTACTATAAGTGTATTATGACTTTCAGACAAATGTATACTTATACATTCTCTTATATATTATACTGAAAATACAACATTTTTGTATCACTGGTCCATTGGTCTGTTTATCTGTATTTGTGGTATTGATGCTTATAGTAAATTCAGTATAAACAAAAATTTAAAGACTTCAAATTAAGTTTTTTGTTTGGTGTTGAAATAAATCTGACCGCGTCTGAGTAGGCACACAAATCAATATTACTGTACTTAAAACCTTTTAAGTTGCATTTATTCAATTCATCTGGAAGAAAATAACTTGTAAATAAATGTAAATATGTGTTATAGTTTGTAAATACTAATTTATTTTAATAATTCCTTTTAATTTGTTTTTGCTCATTTTCAACCGCAAAAGGAATTATGTAAAAATTCATGTTATTGGGGTATTTATGAAACTATTATTTAAATACCTTTTGATTTTGTCTCATCCTCATGGTATTGTACAATAATGGATTTTACTTTTATATATCTATGTAAAATACGGCTTTATTACTCTATTATTACAATGAATTTCACACGGTATTTCATATTGTCAATAATCTTAACTATTTTGTAAAATTGGTTTCTTCTTGTAAATAACTGTTATTTATAATATTAAAAAAAGGTAAAAAATGAAAAACTCAACAAAAAAATACAACAACCTTTGTAAATAAAGCTGATGTGCAGTTTATTGCTTACCTTTATGCGTATAGAATTTTGTGTTGAACTTGAAGCACAACAGAAGAAAAAATGAAAAAGGCAAACCCAATGCCGAAACCTTGTTGATCAGAAATGGTTGGATTGGGTGGAAGATCACAAAAAATGCAATAACTTTCAAACCGTAATTTTTACAGCAATAGGGCTTGTGTAATTTTTGTTTAGTTAAAAAAGAAAACATACACACAATTTGAATCAAAATTGGCCAAGTCTTTTTTTGAAGATCCGATTTTCCGTGAATTAATAGGTTTTTAAAAGGGATAATCACAAACGTTGCAATAACTTTTGAACTGTAATTTTTGCAGCAATAAGGGTTATACCATTTTGTTCAGAGTCAAAGAGTAGGTATAACATGTTAATTTTTAATCAAAATCGTTGGGGCATATTCTGAGAAAATTGTATTTGTCCATTATTTTATGGGGTTTTATGGAAAATCACCATTCAAAATCCAAATGAAAAAACACCTGGAGAGACCATGGATTTGTACCTAACCAACATGCCAAATTTCATCAAAATCGTACTCGGACCACAGGTGTGGTTTGTAGCTCTGTACACAGACACACAGAAATCACTTGGAAAACCACATTTTTGGGATCAGGGGGACCCAAAACAGATCTACCCAACGAAAACTCAAACTCGAAAATCTTTAGATAAACAATTCTTTCACCATATTAACTTGTAGGGGGAGAAAGTAAAATTTACGTCAAAACGTTTGAGGTATTTACCTAAATTGCCCCTTAATACACTTCTGAGTTTGATCTTTCTTAAATAAGTGAAACATTTTCAAATGAGCCCCAAAAATATTACTAGGCCTAACTTTAAAATTCAACCTGGAGGTGAGTGAGCGTAGCGAACGAACTCCAACCAGGACGTGATTGAGCCATGCGAACGAGCTCATCTTGAAAATGAACGAGCATTTGACATAAAACCACATTAGGACAGGACGACTTCTGTCGGGCCAGCTAGTAGCCTATAAAAAAGCTTAATTAAATTGTCACACTCAAGCCTATAAGCTTTTTTATAGGCTACTAGCTGGCCCGACAGAAGTCGTCCTGTCCTAATGTGGTTTTATGTCGTCACAGTATGTCCATTTCTTCCAATGAATCAAATAACCCAGGCATAATTATTTATGAGAGCCAATATACTCTTGAGGGACATCACAGGCTCGTTGTTCATGTTGTAAAATTCACAAAATGATTGTCATAGTATAAATTAAGTAGCCTATGGTATCATAATAAAAATAAACAAACCTAAACAACCATCAATAGGTCGGCAATAAGATTATTTGAGAATGAGTTCATAATGAACGGTAATAGCCCAGTCAACCTGTGTCGTAACACACCGCTAAAGGAAAAAATAAGAAAAAAGCTGAATTTTTGTCCATTGACTACTACCATTTAGACAAGTGTTCAACCAAAAGTCCCCGCCCCTACCCCCCTTGCTTCCCCTCCTGTGCCCCCCTAAACATTTTGTAAATCATGTTTTTCTCGATTGTTAAACAATATATTGAATTGAAATTAGTTTTTCCTACAGTTACCTAACAATGTACATGTTCTCTCACTGATTAGAGAAAGCATCAGTGAGACAATGTTAACATTGTCTCACTGTAATTACTTTGTCTCACTCCAGATTTTCAACGTGAATGCACGAAATAGTGAGCGCGTAACATGCAGGCAACGTCGTATGCGCACGAAATACGTTGGCAGCACTGGCTGTAAATCAGCTGGTCAGCTGTTGTACTGTTGTATTTGTCACTTCACATTAAATGTTATATTAAAAGTTCACTTCTGTGTAAAAATAGGTTATGTTTCTTCACCAATTTATTTGTTTTATGGTAACTGTAGGAAAAGTATAATGTGCAACTCGAGTTCAAAGTACAATTGCCTCACTAGAGAAACCATTCCTCACCAGGCCCGTTTTTGATCCTGTCAGCGCCCTAGGCACAACTAACAGTAGCGCCCCTTTGCAATATATATAACAGGGTGTCCACCAACCAGGAAATCCGGGAATCATGCGGGAGTTTTTTGAACCGGGAATTATGTCTGAATTTTGTATTTCTACCTAGAGTTTTCAATTTATCGTGATCGCACATGACAACATCAGTGATGTTTCCGTGACCGCGGGAGACGATAATATGTCTACACACGGCCGCGAGGGATGATCAGAATATTACCACGATCACGGAAGACAATGATAATGTCCACACGACCGCGGGAAACAGCAAGAATTTTGCCGCGATTGCAGAAGACGATGATGATCTCCACACAACTGCGGCACATGATTAACATTTTGCCGAAATCGCGGGAGATGATTTCCATGTATTCACGACCACGGGAGACTGTTACAATGTCTACAGGACCGCGGGAGATACAATAATGATTTTTACACGGCCGTGAGGGATGATCAGAATTATGCCACGATCGCGCAAGACGATGATAATGTCCACATGACCGTGGGAAAAATTTTGCCTCATTCGTGGAAGACAATGATTACCATTTTTCCGCAATCGCGGGAGACGATTACAATGTCTTCACGACTACGGGAGACGATTACGATGTCTTCACGACTACGGCATACGATTACGATGTCTACAGGACCGCGGGAGATACGATAATGATTTATACACGGCCGTGAGGGATGATCAGATATTGCCGCGATCACGGAAAACGATGATAATGGCCAAACGGTCGCGGGAAAAGGTCGGAACTTTGCCTAATTTGCGGAAGAAGATGATGATCCCCACAAGACCGAGGGAGATAATTACCATTTTTCCACAATCGCGGGAGGCGATTACTTTGTCCACAAGACCGCAGGGGACGATATAATGATGTCTTCACGGCCGCGAAGGGTGGTCAGAATTTGACCGCGATCGCGCAAGACGAGGATATTGTCCTCACGACTGTGGGAAGAAGATCAGAATTTTCCCTCATTCACGGTAGACGATGATAATTTCCTCACGACCGCTGGATATGCTTATGTATTGCCTCGATCATGGAAGACGATAATTATGTCCAAACGACCCGACCACGGAAAATAGTAAGAATCTTGCCGCAAACGCGGGAGACTATTACGATGTATACACGGCCGCGAGGGATTATCAGAAGTTTACCGTGATCGCATGCAAACACCAATTTTTTTTATTTACCAAATTGTTGGCGCCCCCCAAAAAAACCAATTGCCTCGCGCCCTAGGCACGTGCCTACCGTGCCTATTCGGTAAATCGGCCCTGTTCCTCACACGCCTACGGCTCGTGAGTAAGGATTTCTCTCGAGTGAGTCAATTGCTCACTTTTCTCACTAGTTGCACAAATAACTATTATTGTCTTTGTTATAACATTTCCTTCAATCCTGTTTAGTTAACTTTTGTTGTAGCTGTTACCGTTTGTTCGTTATTTGTATAAAAATGTAAAGATTTATATTTTTTTATATAAGTCAAAATGAGTAGTCGATGGGCAAAAAATCAGTTTTTAGTAATTTTTTTCCTCCTAAAAACACAGGTTGACTAGACTATAAAAACAAACTCATACTTCAGATAAAATTTAATAAGCCAACCATAATCCTTTGACAGCCATTGGCAGGGAGTTGTTCTTATTGTCAAACATGATAGGATTTAGAATGTGGAAATCCACATAAAGGTATTTACTATATATATTTTATAGCCATTATAAAATGATTAATTTATCAAGATAAAATGTCAAATGGGGATTTTGATTGCATAATTACCCCAGTAATAATTTAATGAGGTCATAAACACTATCTGAATATTTTTTAATGTGTTTCTAACCAACCACTGGCTTGAATCCCCCCCAAAATCATAAAATCCCCCCAAAAAAATTTGCCTCCTGTGGGCACCCCTGCTATAGTCCAGTAAATGAATGCAATAAAACACCCTTTTTCACAACTAAATGGTGGAAAGCTGGATTTTTTATATGTGATAGAACCACATGAGAGGTGTATTTTCCCAAAAGTCCCCACTTCACCCCTTGAGCTTTCCCCCCACCCCCCTCCAAACCTATAAATTGCAGTGTTTTACTTAATTGATCATAAGTCGAGTACTTTGTAAGCTATCAAGCTGAAATTCGTTTTGTTTTATTTCTTATTAGTTTTCCTTCAACGTATATATATAATATTTTTATAAAACCAAAACTTAGGGAGATATAAAATTTAAACTTCCTTAAAGTCTTTGTTTCAGAGCACAAAATTTTTATTTCCTCTATATATTTTTTTAAATAGAAATAATACGCAAATATGGTTCAAACAAATGTTTTAGTACGTCTTTCAAGGTTTACAAACGTATTACCGGTTAGTCATCTAGGTGAACTGGTGAAGAGCTGGGCGTCGGCAAAGTGAGTGCATGCACGCTAGTTGAACACCTTTGCGCTGCGTCGTCGCATCTAGCCCAGTCAATAAACGCATACACTGCCTTTTTTTCGTAGCTAAATAATGGAAAGCTGGATTTGTTATATGTGAAATAACCACTTAAGACGCATATTTTTGAAAAATCTATTTTCCACCTTGAGCTTCCCCCCACCAAACTTGGAAATTGCAGACGTTAACTTTATTGGATGTAGTTCATATTATACACATGCTATCGTATTGAAATTTTATTTGTAATATTTATAAGTACCTGCATGGGGACTGAGCTTTGCTCGGGAAAAATCATTATTTTACTCTGAAAGCAGTCTTAGTATTACAGATACATAAATCCATTCCCAAACTCCACACTGCTCGCCTTTACTACTTCCTTCACCATTCCCTACGTCGTGGACCTGTTTCTCTCCCCTCCCATGGCACTTTAGGATTGTAGATGTAGATACCTGAATCTAATCATTATTAACAGTTCCCACACTCCGGACAACTCACCTTGCTGACCACTTCCTTCACCACTTCCTACGTAGGACCTGTTTTCCTCCCTTCCCATAGCATTTCAGGAT